ATTGGAGTGGTCGAAGGAAACCCTTTGTCCAGGGGTGGACACACACACACACACTTGATCATTGCTCGCAAGAGCGTTAGTGAAATCCCGCTTTCCGCAATTAGACCTTTACACTCAACTAGACCTTTACTTGAATCAACTGCAGGGGGGTGCTGGGTCGGCTCAACAGAAGGTTAAACAAAGATGCATCAGCACTTTACCAGCGAATTAACACGGGGAAATGCAAGTACACAAGAAGGCGTCTCTTCTCGCTTCACCAGTTGCGAGTCCGTCTTCGTTGGTCCAGGGCCAACTCACAACTGCTTGGGCCCCCTGCGGAACGCTGCGCAAGTGGATGGAGAAACCTAAGAATATGAATTGGAGTAAATCGAATTCCTTAGTGTGGCCAGAATCCTTACAGACAGGAGGTGACACACACAAAGAGCCGCCATTCCGCGCTCGCTCCTTTTCTTCGCGGGGTGGAGGGGAAGGGGTGTGGGGCGCGCATGGACTAAACGAGCCGAAAAATCGACCTAACAGGCCTGAAGGAAAGACCAAACAAACGGAAAAGAAAGGTGCAGGGGTGCGGGGGAGGGGTGTTGTTCTGGCAGAAAGGCGCTGGCCAAAAAGCCGAAATCGGCGCACTCTTGACCGAAAGGCGGCCTTTCGCAACGGATTAAGCAAGCATGTCCGAAGCTGCCTATGATTACTTAGCAGCATGTCTTAACGCCTATGACTACTTAGCCGCATGGCGTGTCATTCTCTGGGCGATTGTCAGTGAGCTCTGCAGCTTCTAGTCAGCAATCTCGAGCAGGCAGCTGAGTCAGTGATAGGCATGCAAGAAACGCGAATCCTGTGTTCGTTCACCCTTGAGGGCCTGTGCAAGAAGGGCCCCTTGGCGGGGGTCACGCAACAAACCTCTGTGCGGCCCTGTTGCGAGACACACTTAGATCATTGCTCGCAAGAGCTGTATGAGTTAGTGAAATCCCGGGTTGCCGCAGTTAGACCTTTACGCTCTTCTCGCTTCACCAGTTGTGAGTCTGTCTCCGTTGGTCCAGGGCCAACTCACAACTGCCTGGGCCCCCTGCTGAACGCTGTGCAGGTGGATGGAGAAACCTAATATGAGTTAGAATAAACCGAATTCCTTAGTGTGGCCAGAACCCTCAGGAACAGGAGCGGACACACACACAAGGAGCCGCCATTCGGCGCTGGCTCCTTTTCTTCGCGGGGTGGAGGGGAAGGGGTGTGGGGCGTGCATTGACTAAACGAGCCTAAAAGTCGACCTAACAAGCCTGAAGGAAAGACCAAACAAACGGAAAAGGCAAGGAAAAAACAGGTGCAGGGCAGGGGTGTGGTGGTGGGGGGGTTGTTGGGAGGCACTGGCGCAAAGGCACTGGCCAAGAAGCCGAAATCGGCACACTCTTGACCGAAAAGGCCTGGATTACACCTAATAAGCCTTTAGCAACGAAGGAAGACCTAGAAAACGAAGAAAGCCGAAAGAAGAAAAGCAAACATGTCCGAAGCTGCCTATGAATACTTAGCAGCATGTCTTAATGCCCATGACTACTTAGCCGCGTGGCATGTCATTCTCTGGATGATTGCCAGAGAGCTCTGCAGCTTCTAGTCAGCAATCTTGAGCAGGCAGCTGAGTCAGTGATAGGCATGCAAGAAACGCGAATCCTGTGTTCGTTCACCCTTGAGGGCCTGTGCAGGAAGCGCCCCTTGGCGGGGGTCACGCAACAAACCTCTGTGGGGCCCTGTTGCGAGACACACTTAGATCATTGCTCGCAAGAGCTGTATCAGTTAGTGAAGTCCCGGATTGCCGCAGTTAGACCTTTACGCTCAACTAGACCTTGACTTGAATCAACTGCAGGAAGTGCTGGGTCGGCTCAACAGAAGGTTCAACAAAGATGCATTAGCACTTTATAGGCCAATTAACAAGGGAAAATGCAGGTACACAAGAAGGCGTCCCTTCTCGCTTCACCAGTTGTGAGTCCGTCTTCGTTGGTCCAGGGCCAACTCACAACTGCCTGGACCCCCTGCTGAACGCTGCACAAGTGGATGGAGAAACTTGTAATATGACTTGGAGTAAATCGAATTCCTTAGTGTGACCAGAATCCTTAGGAACAGGAGTTGACACACACACACACACATGAGTGATGCCTTCATTTGTTGGAAGAGCTCCTTATCTGTAAATATTTATGTAGCCAAGTTCCTACAGTACTTCTGCCGGCGTATGACCCTGTTTCCAACAGCATCCTGCGCTTGTGCAGAGCATGGCAAGTGCAGTCGTGGCAGCTGGCGGCGGCCTGGTTTGAACGCCAAAACAATTGGGAAGTAGGCTCCAGTTTCACTCTGTTGCACATGTTTGACGTTCCATGTTTCCAAAGCCTGCTCAAAGCAAACAAGCTAGGGTGCTAGAGTCTGCTAGAGGTACAAACCTGAACCTAATTTGAATAATACAACCGTAGCAAGTGGAGCCCATATGCCAAAAATACAATATGTGGAAACAACATGAAACAAACAATGGCGGTCGTGTCAGAGTCTGACGAAAAGCACCTGACAGGGCACTGGGGCTGATGGGTAACCTGAGAAGTGAAGGGAGATTGTCAGCACCTGCTGTTTTGCAATGTCTTGCGCTCCTCACCCCTGCTGTTGCACAATTCTTGACAAGTGGCCCCGCAAGTCCTGCAAGTGGCAGCGCTGCGCCACTGCTGGCCATGTGAAATGATGGAACTGGCTTGAGAGGCCTGAGGTGTGCTTTATATGATGGATGTGTCAGTCTATGTGTCTAAGACTGCGGATGATATAATGCAGGAACCATTTACTAAATCTCTACATATTAGCTCATAGGAGCAAAAGAGTGTTGAGAGGACATAGTGGCAAAGTGAGGCTTGTTCACGAAGGCTTGAGGGGATTTAGAAAAATCTTGAGCCCGAGCCAAAACGTTCGAAGCTTTGAACAATCTTGTGCGGATATATATATATATATATTAATATTGTGAAACTCGCAAGCTGAACCAAGGGTCTCGCCGACTCCTCGCGTTTCGTCATGTGTTCAACCCACTGACAGGGTGGG